TCTCCAATCTCTTGATTAGAAGCCTTGCTGCTGGATGAAGTCTATCGTCATACCCAGGACTGATGCTGGACGGACCTTAAGAGGAAAATAAATCAATATGAAACAAAGGTCGACGTAGGTGAAAAAAATATGAATGATTCCATAACCTGGGAAAAGCGTATAATCTGATATGATCAGGAGTTGAGCATGGCCAGTACATCCTACACGCAAGTCATCAATCTGCCATTGGGTGGCATGTCACTAGCGTTTACCGCTGGTGACCCACTGTCGGACCGCCGGCGTTTTCGTCTCAGCAATGTTAAAACTGACCGTTAGAGGCCAACCGATGGCCCGCCGGTTGCTGCCACCAGAGGATCGCTGGCGTTGCTATAGGCGGACCGCCAGCCGATAGCAAAGCCACTAGCTGCTTGCGTGTAGTGTGCTCAAAGCGTCGGTCACGATGACTTCATGCAAGCACGGCTATCGAAATATCAAAGGCCTCCGAACAGTTTCGACAAGTCAATGTCATTCACAAGACTGCGGTTAACACGTGGTATGATTTTCAAGCACTTAGAAACGGTGCCACACCCCTGGGATCGTCTCCCCAGGCTAGTATCATCATGGTTATCTTTTTGATAATGGTGAAATTCGAACACGGTTATCATGGACTGAACGCTGACATTTTAACCCCTCGGCCACAATGACATAGTTATGATGATCTATAACCTCAAAAGAGAAACGATCAACAAACTAATGAATCCAAAATCCGAATCCAATTTTGGCAAACTGAAGGACCATTCCATCTGTGAAGAAGAAATCAACAATTGACAGAAACATTTGCATGTCATTTGGTAAGGATGTTGAAGTGATGGATACCATTATCAACATAGTAAGGATTAAAATGGGCGATGAAATATTTGGTAAACATCACTGAAAACCTGGTTAGAGTGGAGCTCTTGGACATGTGTGACGAACGAAGGCAGATGAAAAACACTCGGCACGCAAAGAAAAAACTGTTAAAAAAGATCAACAAAAAGATCAGACACGATATGAAGAAAGGTAAAGAGTACTGGGCTGAAGAACAATGCTATGATATGGAATGATTGCCAGAACAAGAAGACAATTCTACAGAAAGATGCTTAGGATCGTGTTGTGGCCTTGTTAGGGCTAGACATAAAGACACAAGAGAGGAATTGAGTTAAAACAAATATATTAACAGAAACAGTAATACAAACATATACAAACGAGAGTATCTGTCTATATTTCTGAGAAGAGGTATCATGTACACTATTTACATTATTTGGACTATTGTCCTCATCTTTATTGCCATATTTATTACAACGTTTTGGACGTTGTACGCTCCGGCGTTCTTCAAGTGTTTAGAATGTTGAACTGAACCCTTTATTTCGCTCACTGGAGTAGACTGTTCTAGTTCCATGTGCCATGTATAATGGATGTTAGCTATCAGTTATCTCCTGTTAATTCCCCTCTCCAAGTTCTCTACTGCCTTAACCGGGTATTGAACTCACACTCTTTGGGTCCTGTCACTGGACGAATACCCGGCGATTGGAGGTTTTGAGGAGCGTTGAACGGTGGAGTAATGGATAACGGCTCGGATAGAGAAATCGGAGAGCCGAGTTCTAATTCCACTGGAATCCATTACATTCACTTACGTGCTAATACCCTTGGGAAAGGTATGAATTCTCGTCTTTTCCCCCAGCTATAGGTAAATAGCAGGACAGATCAGGTGTGGCCTTGGATGGCAACTGGTTTACCGTAGAATGAAATGGCAACAAAATAGCGAGAAAAGTCAGTCATGTAACAAAAGATACATGATCGCCTATGCGTGTATCACACATGGCACATAACTGACTGGAATCGAATCAGAATTATTGTTGCTCCCAGATCCACCCTGACTCAGGGTGGGAGCACCTGTTCGGGCCCCAGCTACGGGCAAATAATGAACACCCAAACAGAAACTATGAAAGTATAAAAATACATATTTATAGTAAAAATACCAACAATATATTTTTATATAAAAAAATTGACTAACAGTACATATTTAGAGCAAATAACTACCTATACATATTTATAGTAAAATGACCAATAATATGTTTTACATTAGAATTACGAAAAATACATTTTATTTCAAAATGACCAACAATACATTTTTTCTGTAGTTGAAAGCAGACAATTGCGCTGAAAATATATTTATTTCAAGGCATCAAATTATGCTCAAAATAGTTAGCTTTCGGCATTAAATAAGCCATAGAGATTGATATCCCGCTAAACAATATCAATCAACCAATCTCCTTTACCTTGTGCTGCCATTCATTTACAAAAGCGTTGCTTTTCTCTGTCCGTCTTTTCAACCCATCCTGTGGGTATCACATTTTCCAAATCCTCATTATGTGCCCTAGAAATATCACTTATTTCTTTTTGATATTAAGTCTAAGTATCCTCATTGTTTCCGTTTTGTCTAAAACTTCGACGTTGCGCACATGTTCAGTCCATAGTATTCTCAGCATCTTTATGTAGAACCATATTTCTGTTGCTTCTTCTTCATCTGCGGGACTGTTCGGCATTCACTCATATATAGGAGGGCTGATATGCTTTTCCACAATTACAAAATTTCAGACAACAATTGTTCAATTACCTTAGAAGGGTTTAACAAAAGATTGCTTGAAATCGACACTGTATTTTGGGGTTAAAAATTCGAGCATAAAAGATTACCATCTGAGATTAGAGATAGGATTATAATTATAATTTTGTAAGAAATTTGTAAAGTTTTAATTAAACCTGTTAGACTCGAGTCCCATCATTGGCGTGTGACCCGTTAGGTCTTTCTGATTGACACAAAGAAAATAACGTTTCTTAGAACGTTATTTTGTTTCGTTCTCACTTGTTCCCTCACATGTTCTCTAACACATTACCACAGATATAAACAATGATTAAGTATAATGTTTCTTTGTAAATTTTTCCGGGGAAGTAACGTTTTTAGCATTTTACACCTTTGGCGGTTTTCACAAAGGAAAATTATTCGTGTAAACACCTTTTGCTTTTGAAAATATTCATATTTTTTTATTTTCAAATAAACAAATTATAAATAAATTACCCGCAGATACATGTTTTAATCGCACTGTCATCAGTGATAATATTATATCAAGTCTTCAATTTTTTAATTATATTAAAATCTTTCCCACAAAGAAAAAAAAATGATCTTTCTCCAATTTATAACGTACTAGCAGTAGAGCCCGGCGTTGCCTGAGGATGTAACAGTAAGAGATAGATCAAGTATCGACCATCATAAAGACTGAAAAATAAAATTGACAAAGATTATTGTTTAAGGTTGACGGACACGCATGTCTTAATTAGTTTTTTTCTTTTTTGCGAATTGGTCAAATCCAAACTCAAACAAAAACATTGTTTTCAATCGTTATGAGTCTACCGATTGAATAGAATTTTATTATAAACAATTGTCTTGTAAATGGAATTTTGAAAGCATTCGGAATGTAAAAATAAAGAAAAAAGTGTGCAAGACAATAAGAAACACTACCCGCCAAAAAAAAAGGTGAAGTTTTGTTGAAATCGGTTGAAAAATGTAGGAAATCCGATCCCATATATAAACGAACACACACACACACACACACACACACACACACACACACACACACACACACAAACAACCTGGGTTTTATAATAAGTATAACTCGATATGAGTTGTCCCCATTTCATTCTCGCGATGCCTCTTAATCGTGTTTTCAAATTGATTTTGTGCAAAAACAATTGTGTTTTTTCAATTTTTAGCGCTGTCAGAACCACCGCAAGGTAATTTTACGTAGTCCTGTGAAGTTTTGTTGAAATCGGTTGAAAAATGTAGAAAATCCGACCGAATATATAAACGTACACACACACACACACACACACACACACACACACACACACACACACACACACACACACACACACACACACAATCTGCGTTTTATAATAAGTAAGATATCCTTACAGTTATGGTCTTCTGTAGTGAAAATAGTTAAGGTACCTACTAAGAAAAATTACCTTTTTTTTAGTAGTGCGGCGCCACATTGTGATGAGTTATAGATCATGCGGCCCACTGCTCGAAAAAAAAGTTACCCATGCCTTCCCTAGACTAAGAAAAAGTCCTAATTTAAGCCTCATCAGATTATTACGATAAAAAGTTTTGTGTTTTCGCAAAAAGATGTTGGATTTATTCTTACATCAGTTGTCTTAACATCATCCTCCCATTTCTTCATTCTCCTACAGAATCTGACCCAATTCAAATTGTTTTTTAGTACACTTCTCCCGTAATGGATCAACTGCTGTCAGAATTTCTCCTCAAAAGTAGTTTATCTATATGCATTCATATAAAGGCGGATGTTTGGACAACTCGGAAAGAAAAATCAGAAAAACTGAGTTCGAATCCAGGTCGTTCGTTACGCTCACCTTCGCAGAAAGGCCCTTGAAAAAAAAGTTATGAATCTGTCCCTTCGCCTCTCCCCGTTATGGATTAAATAACAGATCTGACTGGGTTATCTTGCCTTAAAGTTTAAATCAGTCTTGGTAAAGGAAAAATCTGAATTCAAAACCAGTCTGAAGAGGTATGGTCCCCACCAGGTTATATTGCACTAAATGCATCATTACTGCTGTGCAAATAATGCCCCTACAACCCATATGGATTACGGAGCTCGTGAGGAATTTTCGAGATATTCGGGGAAACTGGTTATACCGTAGAGACGTTGATAGGGGTCAACAAGTATTCACACATACTGGGGGATTGTCGTCTTATATCGTTTTGTAAAGAGCAAGAAAAAACAAAGCAAAAAACAAACAGCAAGGGAATAATATAAAGAAAAATCTATGCGGGGCGGTGGAAAGGTGGGGTAACTTGAAGAACACCAGAATTTGATTGGTTGATTTGATTTTTAAAAAAAAGGGGTTATCGACCCTTCGTGGGTTACTTACAACTGAAACATATTTCAGATTGTTAGAAGTTGTTTCCAGTAACCGGTGTTCCCAAACGGTTCCCCATCTAAGTACTAACCGCACTCAACGATACTTAACTTCAGTGATCGAACGAGAACCGGTAGAAGAAAAGTAAAAAGTAGTAAAAAAAAGAAGAAACAGAGTGTGTAGGGGGGGGGCACTGTTGCCGTGAACCATTCTCTTTTGTTTTGTTCAGCACAATGCCAAGAAAGAACCTATTGAAAGGCTGTCAGTCGGAAGCGCGAAGAGATCCCATGAGAAATATTGTTGGTGTTTTCGTACGGACACATGCCTAGGTTAATATATATATATATATATATATATATATATATATATATATATATATATATATATATATCTAGATAGCGTTATTCGGAAAAAAAGTTAGGGAGACGAGGGTGGGTACTGAAGTCAAACTAAGAAAAAAAAAGAAAACGTGTACAAGAGAGAAAGAGAGGGGGAGGGAAAGAGTCTGTGAGAGAGAAAGAGATATTAAAATAGAGAGGGGGAGAGAAAGGTGGAGTAAAGAAAATGTGTCAGTATAAAATAAAAGGAGGTAAAGAGAAGGAGAAAGTACAATGGTGATGAATGCATGGAGCAATCAAGAGGGAGATTGTCAAAGAAAGAAAGAAAGAAAGAAAGAAAGAAAGAAAGACAGGAATAAAGAAGAGAAAGTCGAGAAAACCTTAAGACAGAACCAACAATTTAATCAAAATGGAGCATTGGAAAAGATAACAAACTCCATGTTTTGACGCACTGAAAAAATGAAAAGATAACGTATCAAAAAACTTCCAAAGAAATCCTAAACAACAAAATATAAAAGAAAATTCAAAAGACAATTCAAATAATAGTTAAATCAAAGAATACTCTTCTTTACTTTACCAAAACAACAACAAACACAAACAACAACAACGACAATAAAACACCTTCAGAAATTTCCATATTTCATTTATCTTTATTTTCTTTAATCTTAAACAAAGTCTTCTGGGAAATTCATAATTCAAAGACGACGACGACGACAACAACAACAACAGCAACAACAAGAAAAATAATAATAATGATAATAATAATTGTAAGCTAAAACCTGGTTGCGCAACGCCTACCCCATACCTTCTATTTCTCCAAATCAGGAATCTTAAAGTCTATAGAAAACCTTTCAAACTATGTTCCTTCTGGGGCCATCGAAAAGACTTACCTTCAGCCAGCAGCGCCCTCTGGAGGAATATTTGAAAGCGGGAGGTAATTAGTTCTCAACTTTACATTCAGAAAACAGCCAATCAGCACTGCCACTTAAAACCAGGGCCCCATCAACATGGTGGGGTAAGAGGCTGATGAGAATAACAAATAAAAAATAAAATGATAAAAAAAAATAAATTACAAAATATTTCGGCCTAAAACTCCCAGCATGCTGTGCGCGCGCCATTTTAATTATTCGTTGATAAGATAGAAGGAACGTGAGTCAGGAGATGTTGAAAACCGGAGGAAGAAAGACATTGGGGACTAATACCAAGTGAGACACGAATAGCAGGTGCCAGCGTTGTGTGTGTGTATGTGTGTTCGTGTGTATGTGTGTGTGTGTGAGAAAGAGAGAAAGAGAGAGAAAGAGAGAGAGAGAGAGAGAGAGAGGGGTTGAGAGAGGAAGAAAGAGAAAACGGGAAACGGAGGGAGAGAGAAAGAGAGATTTTCAAAGATTGGACTATAAATGCCTACATTGATAAAGGAGAGATAGCGTGTTTGTTTTTGTGAGTGTGTATATGTCTGTATATTTCACTCGAGATAAAGTTGCCACTGTATACATACATGTACACGTATAGGTATATTTAAATGCTCGATAGATATGGAATGTATGGATAAATAGACGGAACGAGAGAGCAAGCAAGTTTGCGCAGGTATATCTATAAAGATGTAGACGGATTATTAAAAAAAAAAAAAGCATTTATTTTATAAATATTTATTTTTCAACATTCCTCCTTCTTCAGTTTACTTAAACCGACGATAACTTACATTAATCGCAAGGAAGAAACATTATAGAATGAGAATTTCAGATTCAAATTAAGTTAATAATTGCATCGGGCTACGGACTTTCTGATCCGTAAAAGTGAAATAAAAATTAAATGCATACTATGAAACGACAGTGAGAAAGAGAGAAAAACTAATCTTCCATTAACACACACACACAAACGCACACACACGCACATACACATATGCACATATACACACACATACGCACATATATACACACACACATACGCACATATATACACACACACATATACATTGTTTTTAGTAGATACCCGTATTGGAGCATGCGCTCTGTTTATTTTAACCATCTTAAAAACAATATTGGATTTCATCTACCGTCCTTCACACACACTCACAACATATATATATATATATATATATATATATATATATATATATATATAAAGAAAACAGTTAGATTAACAATTTAGTTCTTTAGCATTCATTTAAAAAACTGCTCAATACACAGTAAAGCATACCTCTTATGTCGCGAGCTGGAATCATATTTTTAAATAAATAATTATATATATATATATATATATATATATATATATATATATATATATATATATATATATAGGGAAAAAATGAATGACGGAGTTGCAAAAAGTTTTCTTTTAGACGCGTTTCGTCCTTTAGGACTTAATCGGACAGAATTTATGTTGGTGCAAATTTTTAAATTTAAAATTCCCGGCATTCCTCGTTCGTGCGCATGTGTAGTCGCACCAACATAACTAATTTAGTCCGATGAACTCCGAAAGGACGAAATGTGTCACACGAAAACCTTTACCCACTTTGTCATACATTTTCCCCCAACACACACACACACACACACACACACACACACACACACACATATATATATATATATATAAATATTAGTGAATATACATAATATCCAATGTCTGGGTATATAACTGTCAGATTGTATTTGCACCTGAAGATTGCATGAACTGCATGAAACACCGAGTCGTGCTATGGGTAAATAGCAGGACAGACTGAGTTCTATAGCCTTGGATGGCAACTGGTCTAGGAGAAGGAAAACTCTGAATTCAAACCTGCTCTTAGAGGAGGGTGAATGGAGTCTCTCTGAGCCTTGGTTGGCAATCTATTTAGTGTTGGTGTCACGATAAAAAACACCCTTGATAGCCCTAGCGAAGCATCAAGAATTCAGCTATTTGACAAGATTATGAACTACACCAATCAAAGTATTGGTGAGTTCAATCTCGGCTGAGGCCGCAAGATGATGAGTCGTGCTACCAAGGTCGGATATTATGTACATTCACTAATACATACTTATATGTTACATAACATTGAGAATTGTATTTATAACACCTGAGGAAGAAATATATTTATATGTACGTGCAAGTATATGTACGTGCAAGTATATGTGCGTGTATGTAGATTTTTTATCATAACCATTCCTCCCCACTCTCACTCTCTCTCTCTCTCTCTCTCTCTCTCTCTCTCTCTCTATATATATATATATATATATATATATATATATATATATATTTGATAATCATGAGATCACTTGAATCTGGGTTTCAACCATATGGTATTCTCGAGGTTGAAAGCAAGGTAGCTGATTCGACTGATCTGACTTTTAAAGTTAAAACTTCTGTTATTTTTTGCTTTTATTTTATTTTTTACACATGTATTGAACACTTCTATTTCCTGTTCTGATTCAACTCTGACCATTAATCTTATATATATATATATATATATATATATATATATGTAAGCAAATATATGGATATAGATCCGACAGTATGAAGAAAATACAGAAAAAAAAACAAACAAAAATCTTAATATGCAATTATGCTATATTAATGTTAATATAAAGTCGACGCCGGACGTTTCGGTCTATTTAAGACCATCTTCATGGACATTTTCATTTAAACATAATTAACATTAGAACATATAAAAATTTAACACAAAAGACGATGGACATAAGAGCACAACTAATCCAAACAGATAACTGAAATTTTTATATAAGATTAGCGTTCCGTTTAAATATGATCACGTCGTCGTCACGTGGGCGATGTTGTGAAAACGTATTCGAAGATGATTTCCAAATATTAAAATATTAAAAAAGTCGATTGAACTATTTTATATAAACTGTTCAAGAAATCCCTTCCGTTGATATAGGAATACGCAGAGATCAATAGGTTCTTATTCTTTATATTAACATTGCATAATTGCATATTAAGATTTTTGTTTGTTTTTTTCTGTATTTTTCTTCATATATATATATATATATATATATATATATATATATATATATTGCGAATGTGGACAGACATTTTGTTGTAGATGTTTAGAAATGTTGGACATATTATTCAAAGGAAAATTTTGCCGTTGTTGTAGTTTGTCCAACATAAATATTTATATTTTTATGTAATTCATTCATATGCTCTATAATAAATATATTGAGCTATCTTTTGTGGATTAGTTTTAATATTTTATATTTATTGGGATCTATTTAGATTACTTACCCACGGATTTTTACTTGCATATATATATATCCTGTATATTTTGATTCGTTGGATTTGTCAGGAATGACATCTGTACTGTTTAGAAATGTTTTATGAGTCTTCTGTTTCGCATTAAATATGAAATAGGGCAATGGAGAAGCTTAAAGGTGTTTTCGATGTATTCCTCTTCTTCATCAGCCCTCAGTATTTACAGGGACGCAATTTTCAGGTCAAAAGATTGCGTTTAAGCATGACACAGACTGTCGCTACTCGGTGTTGACCTCAATGTCCACTTTTATATTTTATTTTTATATACAGTATATCCCGGATATGGAGTACTTTAAGCCATAAATATGTATAAGACACCGCAAAACTATATTTTTATTAACATATATATATATATATATATATATATATATATATATATATATATATATATATATATATATATATGGATGTGCGTGTGTGACAAAGTGTAAAAGTTTACTCGTGACGCGTTTCGTACAAGAGGATTTCATCGACTAAATTTGTTATTTTGGTACGACTTCACATGCGCACGAACGGTAAATGCTGGGGATTTAAGATCTTTTTAGAATTCTTTTTTAATATCTTTTTTTACTCCGATGAAGTCTTGCTGTACAAAACGCTTCAAAAGTAAACTTTCTATTTTGTAATACATTTTCCCTAATATTGTTCTTGATATATAAAATATATATCGTTGTTTATATATATATATATATATATATATATATATATATATATTTTTCTGGGATGAGGTATTATGTACACTATTTACATTGTTCGGACTATCATCCACATCTTTGTTGCCATATTTATCATAAAGTTTCAGTTGTTAGTTGTTCGCCTTAACCAGGTTTGAATTAAAACTTTTTTTGTTCTGTCACTGGATCTAACTAACTTCAGTGGATAAATGCGTTAATTAGATCCAGTGACAGGAACCAAAGAGTTGTGAGTTCAGTACCTGGTTAAGGCGGAGCATACAACGGCCGAAACTTTATATATATGCGTTGCATTAAACAATATCCTGATGATGAGTCGAAAGTACTCGGAAAAAAAGAAATATGTATTAACACGGCGATTATCTCTCGTCCTTCAATAAGGACACCAAAAAGCTTATCTATGAATATGAAAGGAATCAACTGAAAATAAGTAGACAGAACATGTCTAAATTTATATATATATATATATATATATATATATATATATTATAAATTAATTGATTTAAAATATAAAAAGCCACACACAGTTCTCACCATTCAAGCGAAATTGCTTGAGGATGAAATGGAACTAATGTCTTTAATTTAATCACAAAATTAAATTCGTGGCTTTTAGCTTCCATTTTTGAAACATGGTTAGAACTGTGTAGCGAAAAAAACATATTTTAAATCAATTAATTTATAATATTAATCCTCGGTAAATTTACATTGAGCACTATTTTGTAAAAATAAAAATATCTATAAGAACACTGGATTATATATCTTGCTGTTCTTTCTTTATATATATATATATATATATATATATATATATATATATATATATATATATATATATGTCTGTGTGTGTGTGCTTTTCGAAGTCTGTATACTTACGTCTTTGTGATAGATAGATAGGTAGATAACGAGAGAGAGAGAGAGAGAAAGAGAGAGGGAGAGAGAGAGAGAGAGAGAGATGGTGCAGATAGACAGAGAAAGAGTCAATGGTGGATTGAGAGAAAGACAGTCTGCGCCTGTCAATTTGAGTGTGTATGTGCGTGTATTATCAAGTATGATATAGATTACATATTTATTGAGGAAGCCATAGAGTTTCTTTTGGCAAAATGAAAAATGGTGAATATTTCTTGCGTGTAAATTACTGTTATGAATGACCCCTCCCAAAAAGATAAAAAAAAAAACCTTCAATTTTTCTTTCTTTTGCGCTTTTTGTGGTTAAAAGCGATTAACCGAATAGAGTTCTTTCTCCGAAAGGCTAACGAACCCAAAAGATGAAAAACGTCATATTCCTCCCAATGCCGGTTACAAGTCCGCCTGGAACACATCTACTTTTGTAAACTCAATTCCAGTTTATTTGCTTTTGGTTTAAAGGCATTGTTTGCTTTGTGTCAGATGTTAAAGTGTTCTGGAAAAAAAATGGCGAGTAAAGATGCTTGACAATTTTGTTTTGCGTTTATTGAGGCGAAGAAAGATAAGCTAGTTCCCCATGCCGACAAAGCATCCTTCATATAATGATATATGCATCAATGTCTACACTAGTTTTCAACAATTTCCTGGTACAATCGACCTCCATCCTCAATAATGTCCCGACTTTAAGACACACGTAGGTATCGGATAAAACGATGACATCCTCAGACAGATTCTTAATCGAATATATAAAGCTTATAATTTCTATGTGTGTCCGCCTGAAACTAGAAAATGTAAATCTACTAGCAGTACTCGTGAAGATTTCTGATGAATCATAATTTTTAAGTTGATTGAATAATCCCATTGCGAGTTCTACGACAACAAAATACTCGTGGAATTTCCTTTGTTGCATCGTTAATTATTTGAGCTGAACAATTTTAATAAAATACTGTAATTACAATTTTAAGTATGTTTATTATTATTTAAAGAAGTAAGAGGATAGAAATGAAAATATTAAAAATTAGCAACTTTTTTGAAAAGTTTTCACTGAAGCAAGTTTTCGCTTTTTCTTCCTTTTTTTTATTATTGTGTATATTTTCTTTTCGTGCTAAAACCAAACAGTACTCTGATGTATCGTTTTTCTTCAACTTTTCATGCATTGTAAAACTGAATTGTCTATTATTTATCTGTAGAAATGGCAGGGTGTGACACGCATGCTAACAGTATTATAACCTGATATAAAGTTGGTTCTCATTCAGCTTTCGAAGGCCTTTTTAAATGTTTATTTTCGTCGTTATTACCTCTAATTATCCCATATTGCAACCGCAAAGGTTTAGCGAAGAAAGGAGACCTCAATGAAACCGGGTACATTCGGCATCTGGACCTCAATATTTAAATTTAAATTTCAAAGAGCAGATAGTCTTTTTAACATTTGTGATGTAGAGGTGTGGCCGGCGTTTGCTGCATTTTCTCCCGAAACTATGTGGTGGCCAATGTAGCATTAACGTTTCTTATAAGAGTCACAGTTTTGTACGAGACAGCGAAACTGGTCTGAAGTCTGGATTTGATAGGCATGGTTTTATTGGTAATTATGAAGGCACCTTTAAGATGTAGACTGACAAACCACATAATTCCACCAGGAAACACTTAAACACTAGTAAACCACTACTTACTTCATTAGAAAACCCTTTTATATAACGCAGTCATTCAAAAACATCTAATTGTAAGAGACGTCTGAATATAATTGAAGCCATTTCTATAAAACGATTTAAGCTATTTGAAAACAGGAAATACGTGTAATTCTGGGTATGACGATAGACTACATCCGACAGCAAGGTCTCTGATCGGGAGATTGGAGGAGCGTGTATCCAATTCTTAATTGCTCTTATTCCCAGGCCCATACTAATCTCGGGTAGTAGCATCTGTTAGGGTCCCACCAAACAAAAATCGACAGAACGTTTTTATAATAAAATGATCAACAATACATTTTTTACTTACATTATTTACATTATTCGTTATCCTCATCTCCATTGCTATATTCACAACGTTTCGGTCGTTGTACACTCCGACATTCTTCAGGATAAAGACGTTGGTTAGATCCAGTGTCTAGACTCGAAGAATTGTGAGTTCAATACCAGGCCAAAGCAGTGGTGAACCAAAACTTGGAGGGTTGAGTTAAAGGGAAATAACACCCGGAGGAGGCATGGCACGTGGAACTAGAACAATCTACCCCGGTGGCTGAAATAAAGGCTTCGGTACGAAATTCCAATCATCGAACAATGTAAAAAATGTAAGTATTCGTAGTACCTCATCTCAGTGGTATAGACAAATACAAATGAATTTTTAAAGCAAATTGACAATCAATGCAACACGAAAAAAAAATATAAAATACATTTTTATTGTAAAATTGCGTACAAAATATTTAGAATTCTGAATTAAATAACTCATATCCTTTGATATACTGAGAAACAAAATGAAACAACGAACATAAAAGAATTCTTTCATGATATTAATCCATATAATATCCTACAATTTCTTAAATAAATCAAATTGTATTTCCAAAATATAACAAAACTACACACATATCACCACATCGAGTAATCATGTCCTCGCAAACATGTATATGATCAATTCAATTGTGAAATTAGAATAATATATATATATATATATTTATACACGTTTCATTAAATAATATAGACAAGTGTTGTAATAAAATAAAATAAACAACATAAAATAAATAGACAACACTTGTCTATATTATTTAATGAAACGTGTATAAATGAAAATATGTTGCCTAAATACACAATATATATATATATATATATATATATATATATATATATATATATATATATATATATATATATATATATATATATATATATATATATATATATATATATATATATATATATATATATATATTTCTATTACTTCAAAGTTACCAAGAAAATTAAATTACGGCATTAAATGATCCATGAAGGTATTGATAAGCCATTAAACAAACAAATCAATAAAAAATGTGTTGATGGTCTTTTAAAACACCTAATGGAATTACTACTATTACTTCGACCCAGCATGGTTTAGATTCACTGCTGAGTCTACATAGTAAAACATAAACAAGTGTAAATACAGTAAACACGAACTCAATGAAAAATAATCCCTACACTCGCTTAGTCTCCATAAAAAGGAAACTGAATAAAAACTTATTAAATTTTCCTTATCCACCATATTCAAAGCAAACATGTATAAAAGAAAGGTTGCTGCCTATAAAGAGAAGAAGGACGTCAACTCGGATTCCAGCCACGTTTCTTTCGCTCGTCACGGAATAAACTCTGCTACAATTCAATCGGCATCGCATAACGACATCTTAAAAGACAACCATCAAAGAAATTAACAACAATTAGCAACGAACTTCTTGAAAATGGTTAAACAATTGTCCGAAATCACTTGGGACTCGCTACGGACACTTTATACCCAGCCTTGCCATCAACACCACCCTTCCCAGCAAACGGGGGAAACAATTAATAAATTTAATGAAAACTTCATCAAATTTTTCTTGTCTGTCATGTTCAACGAAACATATTTGAAGGAAAGATTGCTGTCCAAATATACATCACACACACGCACCCCCCCATATATATATATATATATATATATATATATATATATATATATATATAGATTGATACATAGATAGATAGATAGATAGATAGATAGAGAGATAGAGAGAGAGAGAGAGAGAGAGAGAAAATGGATAAAATAATTATTACTCTGTGGATGTTTATTCTCGGATGAGGCGCGTCACACTGGAGTTTCCCATTTTGTTATTCGATTACCCATTGTCACTCACTATATATATATATATATATATATGTATATATAAATAAAAAGAAAGAACAGTAAGATATATAATCTAGTTTTCTTATAGATATTTTTATAAAATAGTGCTCAATGTAAATTTACAGAGCATTAATATTATAAATTAATTGATTTAAAATATGTTTTTTTTCGCTACACAGTTCTAACCATGTTTCAAAAATGGAAGCTAAAAGCCCCGAATTTAAGTTTGTAATTAAATTAAAGACATTAGTTCCATTTCCTCTTCAAGCGAATTTTGGAGTAACTTTTTTTTTATCTTCCATTTTTGAAACATGGTTAGAACTGTGTAGCGGAAAAACATATTTTAAATCAATTAATTTATATATATATATATATATATATATATATATATATATATATGTAGAGAGAGAGAGAGAGAGAGAGAGAGAGAGAGAGAGAGGGAGAATTAATATAGTAATATGTTTGTCACTGAGCTAATTGATGTTACCTTCAGGATCCCTACTCCAGAGTTTCGTAGACGGTCCCTCCAGGAATTACACCGTCCATCGTCAAGAGGTATCAGCAAATGACTCCTTATTCCTAACGCTCTTTTATTCTTATGTGCACTTTTCATGGGTGTAAATTATTTTTGCAGTGTGTTTGTGTGTGTGTGTGTTGTGTGTGTGTGTGCGTATATGTGTGTGTGTGCGCGTGCGTTTGCGCCTTTGCGCCCGTTTGCGCGGATGTGCGTACGTGTATAATGTCGTGATTATTTTTTTTTATTTTACATGCACTCCTTGGTCGTTTTTTTCTCTTTGTCCTCTTGATATATATATATATATATATATATATATATATATATATATATATATATATATATATGCGTGTGTGTATGTGTGTGTGTTTAAGGAGGAATGCTCAATAGACAGTTTGGACATATAAATCAACACTGCATATTGACTGTCAGTTTCGATCCTCATGCCATATGCCATTACACGTTTAACGAGCTCTATATGTAGGTCATTTGGAGATTAAGAAATGTTGTGGAAAGAGGAACCCGACCCTTCCTTCATCTTTTGTTTAAGGCTAATGCTTCGGATTATTTATAGGAATTGAATGTATCCAAATAACAAAATTCCTCATTTATATATTCAATTATTCTTATTCTTATTTTATTCATTTATATATTTATTTGAGTTTTAAATCTTTTGTGTATATGTAGTGAAAGAGATAATCAGTTACCCCGAAAAAAGGTTTGTGTTTTGTGTGCGATCTGAAAAATGACCAAAAAGTAGTCAGCAAAAATCTACCTCAATGACTAGAAGCTATGCTAATGTTCTTCCCTCCCCTGAATGGCGTGACCAATCAGAAAATTCTCTCGGTGAACAGAAATCGTTGTTTTTCGCTTATAAAAGGAGATGATTTTTTTAGCTGGGGGACGAACACGCGTTGTTGTTGGTGAGAAGTGAAGGTTGGATTTGTGACCCCCATTTTGTCGTTTCTACGGTGTGTGTTGGACTGTTACGTCGGAATATCGTGTGAACTGCGATTTGGCTACAAGTGTTGCGGTCGAGAAACAAGAAATCTATTGCAGTTGCTACGATCAGTTGAGTCTTTTCTTTACTACAAAAGTATTATTTTTCGTTCTAAGTTTTTTTATTGACTCATTTTAGTCACAATGTGATTTCAGGTAGGATAATAGGAATTTGAACCCATTCGGAAACGCTAATTATCACTATTTTCTTGTGTAGGAAAAAAGTTTCATCGCTTTCAGGTTTTGTTGTAGGATGGTGCTGTTTTTGTGTTGAAATATATGGTGTTTCTATTTTTGCAGTGGCATTTGGTCTAAAGATAACATTGAGGCGTGAAATAGTCTCTATGCAGTGTTCATTTTACATGTATATTTCTTGACTCCTATCTATCTATCTATCTATCTATCTATCTATCTGATAAAATAGACTGATTCATTCAACGGCTTATTCAACCTTTGCAAGTTATTCAAAACCATAAAATATTTTTAGATGGTAAGAATTTTTTGAGATAATAATAGTTTAGTGATATAATTCTTACTAATTAACCCATAGCTGGAGGGAAATGGTGGATTCATACCTTTCCCAAGGATATTTGGAACTCAGCTATTCAAATAAAAATTACGAATCAATATCGATTACACGATTCGCATATTTAAGCTTCCAGCATCTGGTATTTTCAAGCGGTCAGCAATATAGGTACTGACCACTCTCGACGTTGCTTAACTTCGGTAATTGTACGGGAACGGAAGTGTAAACATGATGGTGTTATAAACCGATCTGATAAAATGAGTGATATATAAGATAATAAATTAACAGAATCCGTAGAAAGCCACGATCGCCTACGTCATGAGTGACATGGCAATTCACAGGTAATAAATTAAAGGAATCTGTGGAGAGCCATGATCGCCTATGTCCTGAATAGAGCCATATTCACTGACGTTCTGAAGGAAGGTGACATTTTTTTGGAATACGTCATTCTTTTTAAAAACATTTTGACATTTATCAGAGATTGACAAAAGGAAGGAAGTTCATTAGTGTACCACCAGAATATGATGCTTATAAAATCATCTGAATTCGAGGCAAACATTATTCACGTGTATTTCTACATTTCTGGTATTTTAAAATGTATATTTGATAATGGACTTGCGGAGTGGAGTCATTGATAACGGCTCGAAATGTTAAATACCCTCAAGAAAGGTATGATTCTATGTCTTCTCCCCTCAGCTATGGGTTGAATAGCAGGACCGACTGGGTCCTATAGCCTTGGTTGGCAACCAGTCTATCATAGAAAGAAACGGCAACCTACTGCGGGAAAATCTTCTACCTAATCAGTCATGAATCGAAAGAGACATAATCACCCAAGCGTGAATCACGTATGACACTTGATTGACTATATCTGTTTTCCCTCCAGCTATGGGTTGAATAGCAGGACATATTGGGTTCTATAGTCTTGGTTGGCAACCAGTCTACCGCAGAAATAAACGGCAACTTACTGCGGGAAAATCTTCTGCCTAGTCAGTCACGAATCGAAAGAGACATGATCATCCAAACATATATCATGTTTGACAATTGAAAGAGAGAATTGATGCAATATAAACATTGAAAAAAAATAAAAAGATCAATGTTAGGCACAGAGGAACTGTCACTTTCTGAAGCTAGTGTAGTGGGTTGCCTTTCAGGTTTGTAGATCGCAGCTTTCGAATTCAGAGTTTCAGCTAATTGAGTAATGAAGAAACAGATCGATAACTGAACGTATATAAAATGGATTGCAAAATCAGAAGTCTTAGAATAAAACACTGACAGATCCGTTGAAAGAAAGATCATTAGACAATCATAAATACGTCGCTAAATAAATCGATGAGTAAAAGATACAATGTCGGATCGATAGAAAGCCTGACAAATATAATGATCAAGAAATAAAAAGGAGATCAAAGCTCAAGTTGAATTGAAATGGAGACTAGTGAGGGAGGAGATAGACTCCAGTGTGTGTGTGTGTGTGTGTGAGAGAGAGAGAGATTTGAAAAGATTTCGGAGTAGAGAGAGAGAGAGAGAGAGAGAGAGAGAGAGAGAGAGAGAGAGAGAGAGAGGGAAAGAGGAGAAAGGAGAGGGAGAATAGACTTCAGTGTTTGTGAGGGAGACAAAGAAAGAGCAGGGAAAGAAAGAGTGATGAATAAACTCAAGTGTGTGTGTGTGTGTGTGTGTGTGTGTGTGTGTGTGTGTGTGAACGAGTATGTGCGTTTGTTTGGGAGAGAGAGAGAGGGTGGGGAGAGAAGGAGAGATTGATAGACTACGATGTGTGTGAGAAAGTGAGAGAATCCAACAGAGTGGGAGAGAAAACAACGGAATAAAATGAAGATATTTATATATGAAGATATATATAAAATGAAGAAGATATATATATATATATATATATATATATATATATATATATATATATATATATATATATATACGTGTGTGTGTGCGTGTGTGTGTATATCAACAAAACAAAATAACAACCGAATTTTACGTTAAAAATAAACAGTAAATTATATTAAAAATTAAATTTGAATCAACGTGTTTAAGTAGATATTTATTTTTATGTCTACATTAACAGTCAATTCACTTCTCTTGTTTAATAAGCTAGGATTATTTAAGTGTTTAAATAATTTTTTCGAAATTTAAACTCTAATGGGAATTATCATTTGATCTGACGTGCTGTTAACTATTCAGCCACAGAGACGCGTCTGGTCAGCTGTGGCTGAATAGTTAACAGTACGTCAGATCAAATGACGGTTCTCATTAGCGTTACAGGCTCGATTCCTTTCGGAAAGCGAATATTTTTTACGAAATTTCTCGAACATTCAGACCAGTAAATGTAATTAAGACTGTTTAATTAAAAACAGAGCATATATAATTATTGTACCTGAAACTTAAAACTTTCCCTCTGTCGGTTGACCAACGGTTATCAAGTCTAATCTTGTTTAAAAATTATAATGGTTAGGCTGCTCTATGAGTCTATCACGACTTTCTAAATATTCTAATTAATCTGATTCTTTATTTTACTCAGTGGTAAATGCAGTTGCGGGATAGTCAGCTGCTTTATCAAATGACCCGATTCACTGAATATAAAATAAAAAAAAATGTTATTATCTTTCTTCACTAAAATTAATATCACAGATGAAATAAACTATTTATTGGAAAATATTCAAAGCAGTGATAGGTTTTAAACTTTAAAACTTTGGGATGAAAATTCAAAGAAAATGTTACACTACAGTTTGTTAAATGTGTTTAACGCCTCAACATTAAAAGAAAACAACAAAAAATATAAGTAACTAATTCAAATAATTTCAAAACATTTTCTCTCTCGAGATCAAAGGTTCCAATCAATCGATTATTACTTTGTCAAATCGCACTGAAAACCCACATTCTCATTCAATCACTGAAGTTAAGCAATGTCGAGTTTGGTCAGTACTTAGATGAGGGGCAGCTTGGGAATACCTGGTAGTGTAAACTACCTCGTACAACCCAAAATATATTACAGCTTAAAAAAAAAAAAGAATAAAAAGGGTTGATAAGCCGTAAAAAATACAAATCACTGTATTCGCTTAATTTTACATATTTGTTTTGCTTTAACATGATCACTGATGAAAAAAAATCAATTTATAACATATCGATTGATGTAAATGCATCATATATAGATAGATTTTCAATGCGTAAAATATAGATTTTTGGGCAAAGAACCAAATATTCTAATCAATTCTGAACTGTTTAAGTATCTCACCTCACATGACCTTTCGCTTCTCTAGGTCAACCGCATATGTCAAAGGTTATTACTGAATTTGTCAATCAGACATTAAATAAGAATGGCAAGCCTCGGGCTGTGGATTTAGATATCTTGTAGACATTTGAAATGGCTTAGCACGCTGGCCTTCTCCAAAAACTAAAAGTCTGTGGTATCTCTGACGCGGATATTGGACTGAATCTAATCGGTTTTAACAAATCGAGTAATTTAAATTGTGTTGAACGGCTGGATCATTTCACATCAATTTGGAGTACCCCAGGGCTTTATACTTGACCTTACGTTGTTTCTTATCTTCATCAAGGACGTTCTCGATCTCAACAATTCCCAATTAGGCATTTATGCTGATGACATAGCTATTTAATCCTGTCTTAACAGTAAGTCCGACAAAGTAAAACTGGCAGCTGATCTCGAAAAGTCTCCAATCAGTTGTTAACTGGGGGCAAAAATTGGTTTGCAATATTTAACACATCCAAAATTAATCTGCTATTCTTTAATCATCATAGATAACCATTTTTGACCTTCATCATATGGCTGATGCTAACCTCCAAGAGAGGAACTTATTGTACCTTCTTGGTTTTCTACTAACATGAAGTGGCACGATTATATTGAATCAGTTACTAGGTATGCTGCTAAGAAAGTTGGTTCACTAACGTATTTTGTCATCAGAATCCATCTTGCACATTTATAAATCTGCAATTCGTTCGGGCATTGAATACTGCTGCCTTATCTGGTCTGGTGGTGTATGCATATATATATATATATATATATATATATATATATATATATATCGAGATTCTCGACAAAATCCAAAGTGGAGTATGTGATGTTATCGGTCGTGACCTGGCATCTCGATTTCAGTCTTTTTCTCACCGCCGTGACGTAATTCCTCTCTGTCTTTTCTATAAACGTTTCCTTAGCAGTTTTTCCAACGAGCTTTCATTTCTGTTACCTCGATCGCAAGAAGTTAAGCTCAGTGCTAGATTGGCTATTAGGTCTCATCTTTTTACTATTGAAATAGCTCGATGTAACCGTAAGTTCTTTTCTTTTCTTGCACTTTTCGCCCGTGGAACTGACTTCCGATTTCTCGCTCCCCTCCTCCCTAGAATCTTCAAAAATCTAAATGCAACGTCAATCACCATCTTTTGTCTCCCCGAATCTTCTTATTTCTCCTCACTAAAGTCTTCTCATTCTCTTTCACTTTCAGTAACACCTTGTGCCATAGTGGCATTATCGCCTTGCTTGGGGTGGAAAGGATTTTTTAAAAAAGTTTGATGCTCAACATACATTCAATTTCATCTAATAAATAAATAGTGATTAATATTTTTGTTGTAAATTCTCAAGAACAACAAAAAAAATATATAAATTCCCTTTCATTTGTTTAATTTTTATTACAATTCTAATCATCTCTTTTTAAAACAATAAACACTGCTGAGGAGTGAAGATAGTTAAAACAATAGTGGTGTCAATGGAAAAACCATCCTTTTGACACTCCGATTTTTGCTAGCATGAATGTCCAAGACTGGGACGAAAATGGATGAAAGTTAGAAAAGAAAGAGAGGCGGTAAGTTAAATAGAATTGAGAGCGGAAAGAAAAAGAAAGAAATAAACAATGAAGGGAGAAAAGAAAGAATAGATTATAAGAAAAGGATTGATGAATTATGTACATGAAAAAGCGGCGTGTTGTAAACAGCGCCTGCCAGAAAGAGTAAGAAATTGGAGAAACATTTCAGAGAACTAAACAAGGAAAGATAAGAATATATAAGTGTAAAGAAAACAGACAAATAAAAAAGATGACATTAATGGCGGTCAGAACATTTCAAATGGCGAAAAGATGGACGAATATAATGGGGAAAGATATAAATCAGTGTATAAAATAAAACAGATTGCAAGAAAGGCTTTCGATAGTGAGTGAGTGAATGACACAGAGAGAGAGAGAGAGAGAGAGAGAGAGGGGGAAGAGAGAGAGAGAGAAGTAGAAAAACTGAATGACAACAAAGAGCAATATGTATGAAAAGAAGAGAAAAGAGAAAAGAGGAAGAAATATGGAAAGTTATAAGGGAAAAGGACAAAAAGACAAATAAGAAAGATGACATTAATGGCGGTCAGAACATTGCAAATGGCGAAAAGATGGACGAATATAATGGTGTACAAAATAAAACAGATTGCAAGAAAGGCTTTCGATGGTGAGTGAGTGAATGACAGAGAGAGAGGAAGAGAGAGAGAAGTAGAAAAACTGAATGACAAGAAAGAGCAATATGTATGAAAAGAAGAGTAAAGACAAAAGAGGAAGAAATATGGAAAGTTATAAAGAAGGACAAAAAGAAGCAGAAGAAATCGAGAAGGAAAAATGAAGTAGTTGGAAAGACAGAAAAAAAGAGGAAATGAAAAGAAAAGAAAGACAAGAAAATAGAGAAAAAGGAAACAGTCAATTGAAAAATTTACCACAAAAATAAAATAAGAAATATTGAAACAAAACAATTGTTCCTCACAATTAAACAAACAAATCCCCCACCCTGAAAATAGTTTTTTTAAAAAACAACAGAATTTAAAGAAAACCCTTAAAACATAAAACAAAAAACAATAATTAAAACTAACAGAAGTACGCAAGAAAGAAAATGAAAGTGAATGAAGGAAATTAAAAAAAACAAAAAAAAAAAAACAACAAACATAAAAATCCTTTCCCTGTCGGTAATTACCGAAGCCAACAATCAGGACGGTCACATGACCTAAATAGTGGAAGTCTCCAGGGAAATGAATACATTAAAAAAAAAATAAATAAATAAAAAAAAATGAAAAAGTATTAAAAATCTCCCAAGAAATCTTTTTTTAATTATATATAACGCAATTTAAGGCATCGGTGTCTTTTCTAGTGACCCACACTTGTGAATCGCAGGGCGAACGCTAATTTGCGCGATCAAAGTTTAAGAATTATTAAATATTTAAATTTTGCCTCTCATTCAAACGGAATTGCGAAGTGTGATGGTGTGGAGTTGGGGCTGTTCGAACGTTACACGCCTCTCGGCACTGCAGTAATTATCCAGGCTTGGCGTCGGCCTTCTTGTGAAATTTATGATTAAAAATCCACGAACCTCTCCGATTTACGAACACTTGACTTGTGATCATTCAAACAGACGAGCTAAAAGCTTAACTTAGGACCGTAAATGGCCAATCCGGTGATTTTGGTTCGAACTCAATGAGAGGTATCTACATTATACTTTTCTACTTGTACTTTGGAAATAGGGAAATGAAAAAAGTAATAGAATATTTCCTGAAAATCGAAACGAACTACTTTTTTTCTTTTAAACCGCAGTTGCAAAACCTTAAAGTGAACAGTTTTTCAAGCAAATACAATAAATGATGAAAAATTAAAAAAAAAAATGATAAAACAATTGTGATGAATAATCAAGATTGATCTACCATTGTTTTGTTCCTCTCATCTTTGAGAGAGCTATTTTTGTTTACTGGGACTATAAAAGGACACTATATGCGAACCTCGAATTCTCTGATGAATAAATCTGTCTTAAAGCCTACTTTTGTCATTACAACCGTATTAAAATTAGGATAAAGTTCACAAACACTCAAGGCCGAAAGTATAGGGCACCCAGTGAGGATTGAACTCACTACTCATTTGTAAATGTTCTAGCGAGACAAGCTTGATAACCATTACACCGCCTCGGTGTTCCTTCACGCACACTCATATACCAGCTCGGTGGTTTCCAAATATTATTTTGTTACTTTTAATTTATGTTCTAAACTTATGACTTACATTGTCACTATTGCAGAGTAGTAAGACATTGCCTCTAAACGAAGATATCTACTAAGTAAATGTTTGCACATTCAATATAAAAGAATAATATTCAATATAAAAGAATAATATTTATCGATCTCCGAAACAAGTAACTGCATATAGACTCAAAGATGGTCGACCAATATTTACCTATCCGCAAAGCAAGTAAATATATATAACCTCAAATATAAACGAATAATATTTACCTATCCCTGAACTAAGCAATTGTATATAGACGCTGTTATGATAGGTATTCACTTTGACAGATGTAATCTCGTCAAGAGAAGATAACCCTCTGGTAGGAATAGCGATAGTGCCTTTTATACAGTACCTCATTTACATATCACTACACCTCCCTATACATTTAGTTGATCTGACTTCTATCAACAACCGTGGGAGACATAATCCATCTCTCTAAATGAGTCTCTTTATTTCTTTTTATAGGAGATCTAAGTTTTAACTGATTCTCCTCATTTGAATCATCATGATACCTCTGGTCACTTTCATCCCCAGATTGTTCTGCACTACTACTGGATACACTCATTCTCTCCTCCCTTTCCACTTCTTCCCTTTCATCTCTTTGGTGGTCTTTCTGATCACTCTCAATACTGGATTCACTCATCCTTTCTTGCTTCCTCTTCCCCTCCTTTTCCATAACTCCATGCTCTCTTGTGGTTCTAAATTGGCCTTCGTGAGCCAGGATGCCCTGTCCCTGTGTTAAATCCCTTTTGCACTAAAAATCTCGCCTTTTCAGGACTTAAATCCTTCTCCTTTCTGTACCACACATTTCCATTCGTTGCAAATGACATGGTAACCGGGGCTTCTATTTGTCTTCCCATCAATGCGAGTGGGCTTTGTCTTCTTGCATGGAGAATAGCTCTGCAACTTAGGAGTAGTATGGATAAATAACTCTCTATATCATAATCCAGTGGAGAGAGTGCTTTTAATCCCATTTTTATCGTTTGAACCATGCTCTCCGCAATTCCATTTGACTGTGGGTGGTAAGGTGGTGTTTTGTATGGAATGCAGCTCATAAGTTTTAATGAGGTACATAAACTTACTTCAGAAAAACTTAGTTGCATTTTCAGGGACCAAGGTTTTTGGAACTCCATTTCACAAAAACACTATCCTCAACATTCGCTTCACGGTAGCCGCTTTTTTATCCACGATTTTAAAAATTCCAAACATGAATATGAGTTGACTAATATCAGAAATAGTCCTATACTTTTTAATATAGGCATGATCTATATGGACTCGTGTCTACGGCTTCATTTCCTTTGACCAAAAGTAAATTTTAGTTTCTCTAAATTTCATTATTTCTGCAGATTTTGGCGTTTTTTAACAAACTCTTCCACATCTCTCGAATATCCCGGCCGCCATGCTTTATTCTCATTTGCCTCGCCAATATACCTCCATGCATATGCTTTATACATAGGTTTAATTACTTCTTTTTTCAGTGACTGCGGGGGTACTATGTTACATATAATTCCTTTTTTTTATTGTTAATTTGTGTCTTGACTCTTTGTACGATCTTTCAGCCATAGAGCAATTACTCCATGTATTTCTCCTTATTCTATTCATAATTTAACACTAAATCCTGCCTAGTTCCCAACCTAAGCCGATTTAAGTGAAATACGTCCGTTTCTACCCAGTGCAAAATCCTATCCTTACAATTTTCACTTGCTTAAACATTTTTACACTCAAAATTTAACCGAGATAATGCACTCAACACTATGATGGGTAAATATATCGAATCTATTTTTTCCTTCAAAGAATCCTAAAATTTTGATGATTGACCCATCAAACTGTTTCAACTGGAGATTACCGTATTTGACGGCATATAAAACGCACGGGTGTATAAGACGCATCCCAATTTCAGCAGGGCAAATCAAGAAAAAAGTTAGTAATTAGTAAACTACATATGGCATATAAGACGCTGGGGAATTTTAAATGATATTTTAATAAAAAAAAAACGTGCGCCATATATGCAGTCAAATACGGTAATTTCTTTGAATTTTGATCTACGAATTGTTTTCCCCCCAAATTCCTCGATATCAACGTAACATCACTTCCGGTATCCACCTGCATGAGTAAAGTTACACCGTTCAACTTCACCATTTCCCAAACGGAGGATCTATATTTTTAACTTTTCCTACTCGCTTATCATATTGCATAATAGTTTCGTCCGATCCCTGTCTACTTTCGAAAAAATATAATTCTTTCCGCTATGACCAATCGTTTTTTGTTTGTATATTTGCGTGTAAGATGGCAGCAATTTCTTCCTACGCTAAATTTTTCCAACATTTTGGTATAGACTATGACGGAAATATTTTTTTATGGCCTTACAACTTGCTGAGGCGAGAAACAAATCCGTAACTGCATTTTCTCCTCCATTAGATTTGCTGCACTTTAATTTTTCATTCTCGCCGATGCTGCAAAACACCCAGGCAAGATTACAATATATTCCAGATTCTCCATCGTGTTTAAGTAATCTATCGTCGATGCCATATTGTTATGGTAGTATTCTCTCTGAAAAATGTCGTCTCGCCAAGAGAAGATAGCTCATCGGTAGGTATAGCGATACTGCCTTTTATACAGTACCTCATTTGCATATCACTAGAAATATCAACGGCCAATGTTAACTTATAGAACCAAATAAGTGTATATAGACTTAAATAGAAAAGACTCTTTTTAACCTTTCCCTGAATCAAGTAAATGCAAATAGACTGAAAGATAAACGAATATCTATCGCAGAACTGAATGAATATAAACTCAAATATACTCGACTAAAATTTAGTAGACAAAAATGATTAGTAAATAAACATAGCGTCTATTAAAATACGAGTATCCAAGAAAATACCGTTTAAAATGATAAAACATGATGGATTAATAAATAAAATCCATTCATTCTTTAGAAATATATACGCATACACACACACATACATACAAATCTCTCTCTCTCTCTCTCTCTCTCTCTCTCTATATATATATATATATATATATATATATATATATATATATATATATATATATATATTAAAGATATGAGAGAACCGTAAACGTTTTTGGTTATAACGTGAAATTTTAAAATATATATTATACTTTTATTTTCCATATTTTTGCTACATGCGTTTCGGGTTTTGCGAACTTCATCAGGCGAAATGTGTGGTTATTTACACATATTATTAAAAGGAATTAATTTCCCTTATCTTTTCCTATGTTTAATCATTGTCCTTTGTGTGTAATGCTAATCCAAATTTTCTTGGGCTTGTGGAGAAAATATTCTTCTGCTTAAGGGTTATATAAAACAATTAGGATTAGTCAGAGAAAGGGCGAAGGAAGGAATTCTTTGTTCTTATCTTTTATGACCCCTGTATCTTTTTAAACCTATCTCCATTCTTGTGTATTGCGTATGCGTGCGTGCTAGTATGTGTATATATATTCCTCCACCATACATATATATTATTTTGTTATAAGGAATTAATATATATATATTTATGCACACACACACACACACACACACACACACACACACACACACACACACACACACACACAGATACACACTTCCTATGTTGTGTAGGGTTCGTGTGTGCGCTTGTGGTTAAACTATCATGTTTGTTTTTTCCCAGTATGTGTATATATATTCGTTCTCCATAGATACTTGTGTTTGTGCATTTGTGTGAGTATATGTGTGTATGTGGTTCGATTAGTGTATTCGGCCATTATGTAAGTATACTGTACGTTTATGTGTCTGGGGTTATGATCTGTTTAGTGCTGGTTTAAATTTGCCTATGGAGTTTTTTCTTGTATTTGTAGGTAAGAATAATTGTCTGATATATTGAGATCATTTTAAATTTATCTTGATTACATTTGTAGAGGTGTTGTGATACAAAGAGTTTTCTATTGTCTGGTAATTTGATGTTACTCTTGTGAAGGGGAACTCTGTTGTGCAGTGTTGGCTGATACCTATATAGGACTTGTTGCATTTTGTGCACTTAAGTGCATAAATCACATTTTTTATCACATTTTTTATTTATTGTGAATATTGTTGTGGGGTTTTCAAAAGTGTAGGCGTTTCCATAATATCACAAACCCCATATTTTCTTGTTGCTTTTTGTGACCCCCTGTATTGTGGGTTGGCTAAATTATGATGAGGTTAATATGTGTTTTAGGTTTGTTGATTGGCGTTTGCTTTTAATTATTTTGATTGTTTTTCGTATATTTTTAATTTTACCTTTCTTGTTAAGTAGGTTTAAATTTCTTGTAATTTCTGTAAATAGTTCTGGATTGTTCTTGAATGTTGGGACATATGCTAGAGTTTATTCGACGCTAC